ACATTAATCGACTACTTGTTGGCACTTGACAATTAACATGATAAATGCCACCAGGTAGACTGACTGGGGATTACTCCGGTCAGTGTGCTCAGTGCTCCTCTCTGCTTCAAATATGAAGAACATTAAAAATAAAGTTCTGTAATTTATTTATCTATCAACACAATTTAAAATATGATGTATAGCCTGAAATGTGTAATTTTCACACAATTTGGAACAATTTTTTAAAAAGAGCAAATCTTTCTCACAAAATTGGTCATGTGACTACAAAATAAGGGTGTCCAGGGACTCCAGGGGATTAATAGTCAAATTAATCATTATCGGCTAAATACTACAATTAATCATGATTAGTTTTTTTGCCAATATTGCCCAACCCTACTATGTAATACTTGGTTTATTTACATAATAACATGTGCAGCGATCCAACATGCAGCCTGTGCCACAAAAACTAAAAGATCAAAGCTCAATACAGTGAGTTTTCTTTTATTTAGTGGTTTTGATGTGAGATGTGGGTTGGTGCTTTGTTTACACTTAATAATTTGAGTTAATTTAATTTGTTTATAAGTACGACTTTTGAAGCAGGATTCAATGTAAGTGCAAACAATTTGTTTTTATTTTGATTGTATTTTTAGTTAACAGTTTCAAATGTGTGCCTTTTTGTAAGACTGTAGTTGTGCAAATATTTGTGCAATATCAAATAATAAATAGTCATATTTCAACTTTCCTGTAAACTTTAATCATTTTTTTAATGAATCGCTGGTGGGCGGGCTGGGTGGCAAGCCTGGCACCACCTAACACCGGGCTTAGCCTCTTTTCTGGGGGAAACCCTCCACCTTGTAAAATCATTTATTAGTTTGAATATTTAAAGGAGACCAATTATGGGTCCTAGAAATGTTTATGGTATGTCTGTGGGCTATCCAGACCATGTTCATTCAATTTAATGCACAAAATAATTCTCAGATAATAAAATTTCCCATTTTCTAGTTCTGCTTGCTCTGACTTCTGTTCAGAAGAGCTGTTTATGTTAATGAGCTCTGTTGGTAACGCCCTCCAAAAATCTGTTGACATTAACTCCGCCCTCTAAAGCCAGCGTTTACATTAGCATGGCAAATAATAGCAGAAGCTACGTTGTACAACCATATGAGACCCAGAGGCAGAGTCGTGGTCGCAGCTTTTTTTTTTCTCCCTCCTCTGCTCTGTGCTCACTCTGCATGCTGTTACCAGAGCAGGGAGCAGCAGCCGTCAAAATACCTCAGAAACTTGAACAAATAGGCTTTAACAAGGCTTTAATAAGCTAAACAATAGAGGTACATGAGAAAACGTGTTCATAACGAATGAAAATAAATAATTAAATTGTGTCCATGCAGGTCTCAAACCCTGGTCTCCCACTCTCTGGTCCAACACTCTACCCATTGCCCTATTGGAGGCCTGTTATGAATTAAGCTGTGCATTGCACAATAACACGGTGATGGCTTTTTATATTGAGGAGGTGGAGCCTCACCCGGGGGTTGCTAGGTGAGAGGCTGAACACAGGTTCTGGTGGGTTGTCTTACAGCTTGTGACATCACAAAATGACGGAAGTATAAAACATGTCGTTAATATACATTAAAAATACATTTACTTACAGTAAATATACCCCTGGGTGCATTTTTCTGGTCCTAGGACTGTTTTTTTTTTAAGAAGTACATACCCAAAGTTGAGTAAAAAAAAAGTTTAAAAGTGAATTTTGCATAATAGGTCCCCTTTAAATAAAAAAAAATACTGTGTTTCGTTGTGAACAGAAGTACTTACCACTGTTCAGCAGCTGCTCTACAGCAACTGAGTCTCCATTACTGATGGCATTTTTCAGCATAGTAACACAGTCATCTCCATGAAGTACATGATCCTCCAGATTCTACAACAAAAGACATGTCAAATATTGACCCTTTACACTGAGGAAACATTAAAAGAATTACTGTCCAAACATGTTGAAAGACAGTTTCACAAAGTGTTTGGATTAAAGCTCACCTGCGAAAAATATTAAAAGGTTAAACAGATTTATCAGAAATTGTTTCTATATTCAGGTGTAGAACAAAAATGAGGCAGAAAATAGCGCTGGCGGTATGACCTCAAATTTATATCACAGTATAAATTGAATCCCTTCACGGTAACAGTATATATCGTGGTAGAAAACTATCATTAAAAGTTAAGGTAATGTAAGTTTTAGAGCATTTTTTTAAGAAAACTGTAATCTTAAATTAAACCTGACATTTTTGCTTTAATATCTGCCTGCCATACAATGAGCTTCTGCCTGCTGAACTTATGGGCTGCTGCTCTGCTGCACGCTCATCTTCATCGCTGCGCGCTCATCTTCATCATCAGAGCAGAAGCTGACTTTACATTAGCAAGATGGATTTATGACTGAACGAACGTCCATGTCTTTTTTATCATCTCTGTGGGTAAAAATATATAAAAAACAAATTTTTTTTCTACGACAACTTGGGTGTAAAAAAACTAGTTGTTAAAGCTTCGCTCTGCGCGACGTGCTGTGGGAGAGGGAGGGGTGAATGATCCCGACGTAAATTTTCTATAGCGGGAGGGGAAAATTTGAGGATTTATTCTCTCTATACATGTTTTAAAACACTATATTTCTTCATTATATTTCAAACTCCTGCTGCTCAGTTGTCTCTGTTCACCTGTTCACACAGGTGCGATGACGTAATGACAACAGGATGGTTGATGGTAAATTTCTACTGTAGGCCAACTTCATACCGTTTCAACCATCTACTGCATATACCGCACAGCCCTATCAGAAAAGAACCGCGCTGCAAAACTAAATGTTGGACCCAGAAATGAAAGCCCCAGCATTGTTTTCAGAGTTTCAAACTGTGATCATCTTACGCTGAGTAACGATGGAGTTACTTTGTAAAATCAGTGTTTCCCCAACCATTATACAGGCGGGGCGCCCCCACAACGAGACGACCCGCCCCTCTAAGAATTTCACGGCATGTAGTCATTTTTATTTAAATAAGGCCAGATCAGGTCAAGAGCTATTTTTTGCGTCCCTCCATATCCACCTCTCGCCAAACTTGGGGAAAAGACGGCGCAGAGCGAGGCTGAGCGCTGTGTGTGGTCCTCACAAAGATAGGAAGACGTGTGTGAGATTAGACGCGCAGAAAATCCAAAGGTTGTCAACCTCCATTGTGTAACCACTTGGGACGTCCTGACGTCACATGGAGCTGGTTCTGGAAGGTATGGATGCGCAGAAAGCACCAAAACAAAGAGGAAACTACAGAACTGGAGGAAAGAGATTCAACTGACCCCTGTCTTCATTCAACGCAAAGACTTTAGCTTATTTTGTTTTTTACTGAATGAGTCTGAGTTTGACATGAGCTTCACTGTGTGCAAAATTTGCTAAATGAACATGAAGCACTTTAGAAACACGACAAATGGGCTCACACTGAGCTTTGACTGAAAATTTTAAAAAAATTTTTGAATCAAATCGTGAGATAGAGTCCCACCCCTACATCCCTAAGTGATGACATCAATTTGAAAAAAGAAAAACGTTTTCATATGGGAAATAAGCTGTCGACATGAAAACCTGCAAGTTTTACTATCAAATGACTCAAATTAGTTTATCGATTTGTCAAAATGTTATTTTGGGGGCTTGATCAAGGATTGATGTGAATTTTAATTGTTATTCTGCAGGTTATTTCACACTGACTGCACATAATATAGGGATGTTGACATGTCGTCAGCAGCTGCTGCCATTTTCTTCCCAAACTGCTGTGACCAGACTGTACAAGGCTGCTCTGTGTGTTGGCTTGTAATTTCCTCCTGCTTCGTTATTACTATGAGTTTCAACAAACCAGGCTGCCGTCAGGTAGTTAGCTACAGCCTTGTCTTCCAGTTTCTAATTTTTGTTGATGCGTTTTGAAGAGGCAATTTGGAAAATAGGATCAAAGTAAATCACCTGAGTTTTTTAATGACCCCTTAAATAGATAAACTGCCATGAAGAACATTATTTTATCTGCCCTTCTTCCAAATTTGATGATTTGAAACGTCAAACTATGTTTTTTTATCCAGAACAGCGCTTGTTGCAAAGTGTTTTGATGCTCGTCTTCATCACCTGACACATTTAACAGCTGTCATTGGTTGAGGAGCTTTGTTTACAAAACAGATGTCCACATGCTTTTTAAATTGTTTTCATTTCCTAACTTTCTAAGACACATTAAGTTGATTTGATGCTACAGTTTGTCTTGTAATGTTATTTTATACCTTTTCTGCTACTTTTGAATTGGCTATTATTAAGTTTTATTAGTTTTTAGGACACAAGATGCTTCCTACAAAAACCAGAATGTGAATCTTTTCCTAAAATTTCATGGTGATATCTTGAACACTGAGGAAGTTATGAATAAAAATAGAAAACAACAAGGTGAAATGGTCCCATTGTTTCTGCTGTGAACTGCAGCAAGAAAACATGAGCTGATTTCACCTGAACAAACATCAATAACTTCCCTCATACTTCAGATAATCACAGGATTTTGGTGTTATTTTGTATGGTTTGTAATGATCTTCTGGAATCCACTGTCAGATTTAATACTGGTGTAGGATTAAAATTTATCCACATCCCTACATAATGCTTCACTTTTTAGCCATAAATTTCCATTGTTTGACAATTACACAACCCTGCAAAAAAATAAAGAAATAAATCTCAATATCTCCAATTTAATTTAAACAATTTGAACAAATGAAGTCATTTAAAAAAAACTTTTGATGCTCTTTTTCTTCTTATTGCAAATTGGGGCACATTCAAACACACACAAGATCACCTTTATCACTTTTAGCACCTTAAAAACACGAAATTAAAATAAAACTGTTCAAATTGCTCATTTTACAACAATAACCCAGGATTTACAACTAAGTCAAGAGCATTTTTGTGACAAGAAGTGTTTCATATTGAGACAGCAGTTGGTAAAATGTCGTTAAATAAATAAAGATATATATTTTTAAACCACCTTGATGCCAGAGGTCTTCCTCTCGGACACACAGCCGATGTCCCACTCATCGTCACTGCAGTCGCTTTCATCTCCAGCAGGTAAGGCCAGGTCCACCAAGCTCTTCTCCATGTTGGCTCCGGCTAAAGGCTAGCTAGCTGCTGCACGAGGCACGAGGCTGCAGGTGTGAGGGCCGGGAGTGGGCGGAGCTTCATGAATAAAAGAGAAACGGTGACTGGTTGGTGTTCTGGTGCGGAGCCTGTCAGGTGACATGTGGCCAGAGTAAATTCTGTGCTTCTTCTTCATTTTTATAAACTCTAAAATAGTCACATGAAACACGTGATATGGGCTGAATATAGGCTAATTCATTCATTCACCCACTTTCTTCACCTTTCACTCCTGGGCTGCAGGCAGGGCCACCAATGCAATGGCAACCCTAAAAAAATAAATGATAATAATCATAAACAAACTGGTAGGGCCTTTACAGGTAGACACTTTTATCCCTTTGCATCATTTTCTTGGTGTGCATTTTATTTTCTCCAGTTAATTAGGATTCGCAAAACATCCCACACAGAAAAACAAGCATTAAAGCAGTTAGGAGTGAGATAGTCCAGTGGTCCCCAAACTTTTTATCTTCTGACCCACAAAATATTCATGGCAAAAACTTGTGACCCTAAATATTACTGGTCTGAGTACATGAACTTTGTTAATAACCCTAAAAACACAGGATTTTTGACAATCTAAACAGCTTGTACACAAATATAAATACATATTTATACTTGTTTTTATGTTTTTGTAACAGTTATGGGGAAAATATTACATCCGCAATTATTTTATTACCCTTTAAATTGATTTCTGGAGATTATCCAAGGTGCTTCATGACCCATAATTGGGTCCCAAGCCCAACTTTGGGAACCAAAGTGCAGTGGTTCCCAAACTTTTCAGCTTTTGACCCACAAAATAACAGTAGCGGAGACCTGTGACACCAGATATGTTTGGATGATAAACATTTCTATCAGGTCAACTAAACATGGGCATAGTAACAATATTTTATACTACATTTATCCATTTTAAACACACTAACCTCACTCCTTTGTAACAACTAAGGCAAAAATGTCATTAATTCAGAAAATCTTTTCAGGACCCCACCTATGTTTCAGGACCCCACTTTGGGTCCCTACCCCAACTTTGGGAAACACTGATAGGCAGTGCATTGGTACCCTACTGCAGGGCCATTCAACTGGCGGCCCACGGGCCACATCCAGCCCACAATTGACCAAAGTTCGGCCCACCAATTGGTTCATTCATTCATTCATCTCTTAAGCCCAAACCCCCGACAAAAGCAGTGTGATGTGTTCTTATGTTAGTACCTGTTAAAAGCCTCGCTACAGCATTCTGTACCAACTAGAAACAAGTGACTGTAGATTTGTAAAACAGGTAAAGAAATGGGACAATTACTTGCAGTACTAAGGTTTGAAGTAGTATGAAAGAGTCATTAACACCAAGTACTCAGATCAGGTGAGACATCAGGATATCGCACAGGTTTGACCAAAACAGCTACAACTCCATCATTCCTCAACAATAGATGATCTAAATTTAAAACTCTGACACGAAAAGCAGCAGGCGACGTGCATTTCTTTAAACACTAAACCTTTTATTTATCAGTTACTTGTTCCAAGAATCAACTTTAATGGCCACCCTTCACATTAGTGCTGGATGATTATCTTATAAAACCTCTAAGATGCTAAAAGGTTTTTTTATTCTTTAAATACTGAGCTGGTTTTAATAGTACAACTTTGTCTTTACACATAAACCAAACATGCATGAAGATACTCATCTTTAGTTGTCTGACCATAAACACAAACTCTGTCCACACAATAAGTCTTTATTTAACCTCTTAAGACCCAAGGGGTTTTCTTGAAGTTTTTGCTCATCATATGCCGAAATGTAACTGAGTGTATCTCATCATTTAACAACTTCAATCTTGGTATCAAAATAAATCTAACACCTGGGATATTTTATCAGAAGTGTAAGTATTAAAACAGCTGCTGTGGTTTTAGAGATATTGAGGATGGAACAAAGAATTTTCTTTTTTTTTTCACTCTCACCTAAACAATTTTTTCATTAGAGAGTATATATGACCCATGTAAAACCATAATGAATCAAGCTAAAAACTTGGAAACCATAAATCCACTTGTGAACATTACATGTGCAAAGATTCATGCTGCTAAAATCAACTGGAGCAAAGTTACAGAGGTTTTAGTAAAGTAATAATTTTGTGTTTTGTAATTCTGCACAGGGACAGACTATGATTTTATCAATAATAAATGTTAAGAAATCTTAAGTTTTTACATCCAAAAGTTATTTATATTTTCTTACCTGCCTTAAAAGACTTGTTATTGAATGTTTCACCATAAACCGACCACGACCAGGTGCTCCTCACAAGATTTCTGACAGAGGAGTGAAAAGAATTATCAGAAGAGTTGTCCAAGAGCCAAGGACCACTTGTGGAGAGCTTCAGAAAGACCTGGAATTAGCAGGTACGATTGTTTCAAAGAAAACAATAAGTAATGCACTGAACCACCATGGCCTGTATGCACGCTCACCACGCAAGACTCCACTGCTGAAGAAACAGCATGTTGAAGCTCCTTTAAAGTTTGCTGCACAACATTTAGACAAGCCTGTGTAATACTGGGAGAATATAGTCTGGTCAGATGAGACCAACATTGAACTGTTTGGATGCCAGAATACACATCATGTTTGGAGGTCAAATGGCACTGCACATCAGCCCAAAAACACCATACCAACAGTGAAGTTTGGAGGTGGGAACATCATGTGTGGGGCTGTTTTTCAGCATATGGTACTGGCAAACTTCAAATACTTGAAGGAAGGATGAGTGGAAAAATGTACAGAGACATTCTTGATAAAAATCTGCTTCCATCTACCAGGATGATGAAGATGAAACGTGGCTGGACATTTCAGCAAGACAATGAGCCCAAACACAAAGCCAAGGAAACTCTCAGTTGGTTTCAGAGAAAGAAACTAAAGCTGCTGGAATGGCCCAGCCAATCACCTGACCTGAATCCAACAGAAAATCTATGGAAAGAACTAAAGATCAGAGTTCATAGAAGAGGTCCATGAAACCTTCAAGATTTGAAGACTGTTTGTGTGGAAGAATGGGCCAAAATCACACCTGAGCAATGCATGCCACTAGTTTCTCCATACAGGAGGCGTCTTGAAGCTGTCATTGACAACAAAGGCTTTTGTACAAAGTATTAGATAAATTTCAGTAAGTGTGTTCAATACTTTTTCCCTGTGCCATTCCACATTATTACAAATAACTTCATTTCTGGACATTTATGGTTTGATTTCTTTGTATGTATGGATCACTTGGGTTGTTACCAACATCTGGTGAAAATTTCATGTCATTARCACCTCTAGTAATATATTTACTGAGAAAAATGGTGACGTGTTCAATACTTATTTTACCCGCTGTATATTATACTGTATAAAATAATAAGAAATTAATGGATCATATTCACTCAAAATCAAGTGAAAAAAATGGAGTCTAGACGAAAGTTCAACCCTGGAAGACTAATCAACCTCACCTGCTCCATCCAGCCTCATCCGATCAGTCTGACAGTCAGTGGATAAAAGCATCCTCTCCAATCACTCCGGCTGCTTGCCAGCCGAATGTCAACCTTCCACCTCCCCTCCTCCAACCTTCATCTTCTGGCTTCCAAGGACTTCCCTCTACTTTGACCTCCACCACCAGTGCCGGGTTCTGGGGGGGAGAAAAAAACTCCTACCCCTTATCTCAAGCAGCTCATGTGGGCTTACAGCATCTCACATCCTCTGCCGGGGTCTGAGTGCCAAATTCTGTCATTCATGTCAATAAACTTCTTAATTTCAGTTTGTCTTCTTGTGAGCCTCTCCAGGTTGAAATAACTTTCAAGACACTTTACAATCTATTTATGTATCAACTTTAATTTGCTTTAAACTATGTCAAAAATCTTTCCTTTACAGATTTGCTTGAATTTACAGATTTGTAATGACACCATTTTGTAGAGTTTGTTGACTTTCTGATTTAACTGCTTGACATTTGAACTGTGTCTGGTGAATGTAAAAAATGGTTTCAATGAGCTTTTAGCCAAGATTCGTAGGTTTCTTTTGTCACCAAACATGTCCAGTTTCAACTGACAGATATTAAGTTAAAAGAAATCAAAAACAGAAAAAACAACTTTTATTTCCATTTCCCTAAAAGATTTGGTGATAGTTTTCTGCCATCCATGACACAAAACTGATCATTATCTATCTGGTCAAACATAGACTCGACAATAATCCTAGAAAACCCCTCAGCTGCTTATATCTGAGATCAGGCTGCAGGGGTCCCAGCTTTAACAGACCTCCAGACCTGCAGCTCATCTGGAAGACGTCCCCAGACCAGGGTCTGGCCCAGCGTGACGTCTCTAAAACAGGTGGTTTGGGAAGCTCCCAGCTTTGTAAACTGATGAAGGTTATGGTTATGGATGTTAGAATTTAAATTTGTGAAAAAGCCTTCAGCTGTCTAAAGGTCGTCAATGTCCAGGTGCAGAGGCAGTCTTTGTCCAGGAGAGGTCGCTCTTCCCTCTGCCCAGGCTGTCCAAGCTGCCCGATGGCAGAAAGTTCTCATTGACCTTTATCACACTCTGGTAGCTTTAAGCTTTTATTATAAAACACATCAAACAAACTCGGTGAACTCAGCCAGTGGGTTGTGTTTAATAGACTTTGGAAACAAATGTTAAAAGAAAATGTAAAATATTTGATTAAATTCAACTCTTTTCATTGTCTGAGCTTCTCCAAACAGCACGGAGTCTCTTTTTTTACCTTCACGTTTCACTGGAAAGACATAAAAAGCAACTTGCGTCCACGTTTCTGCACAGTGACTGAGCTGACTGCAGTCAGGGAGTGACAGACACAGGTGTGCGGTTACCCCGGTGACCTTGATGAGCCACAGTGTTACCATTTCTGCTTCTTTTGACACTTTCTGCACAATTCGTTCATCGGGATGTCAACATTTTGTCAGCTCAAATGAAGAATTGAGACCTTTTCTTGTTCACGTGTGTCAGTTAAAGGGATAGTCATGGTCTTTGTCAGTTTGGACCTGATCAGGTGTGACATCAGTCATGAAGCGACGAAAGAGAAAAACATGGATCCAGGCTAGGCTGAGGGTTAGCCAAACGTATTTTCAGCTGCAAAAGAAAACCTGCGCTCTTTGGACACGAAGTTTTATAAACTTGACTTGTTTGTTTTTGTTGGTTTTAAAGAGTTAAACTGCTGACTCAGCCTGTTAGAGGTAAAAAAATGTATTTTATGTTAATGTTGCCTGAAGAAACTGCTGATTTTTGCTGCCCAGAAGCCAAACTGGCTGCATTTTATCTTTGTTCCCTTTAGGAATGTTTCACAGTTTTGATCCTCCCTCTCCTGAAACTGTGTGTTACTTGAAACTGATAAAATATTAATAATTAAAAGAAGTTGGTTTAGATGTCCCAGAACTGTTTCTGCTGTTTTGTGACTCCTGGGCAGCTGAGTGAGGCGAACTCAAAAGACCAGCTCAGCATTCAGAGGCAGTTCTCTGCTTCTCAGTTTGTTTCTTCTGTCGGCTGATTAAAACAGCTCGTTCCTCCCACTGTGACTGCTGGATACTGGCACCAGTGACCCCATGACCCTGAAAGGAGGAAGCAGGTATAGATAATGGATGGATGATTAAAACATGTCTGAAGAAAGTCAGCTGCTGCCCCCAAATAAACACATCAAGTTATTGTTTTCTGAAGATTTACTTTTGTAACAATCCAAGTCGACAAAAAGATGAAGCAAACTGCTGCTGCCAGTGACTCATTAAGGGTCACTGTGGTAACCACCCACTGTTTCTCTCACTCCCTGACAACACTTGTTCTGAGGCAGGCAGAACCACAGAGTGAAAAATAAGGCTCTGTGTGAAAACTGTGTTTGTCACGTGTGTCTGCAGTGGGTTTTATTGAAATAGAAGAAGAAAAAAAACCCACTCACTTTGAGTTTTTAAAAGAAAGTTCAGAGCTTGGCTATGATGGAAGTTAATGGGAGTCTGCATGTAGCTCTGCACTTTAGAGGAGCTTTAAGAGAAAACAGTAAGTGTAGCAGAGAGGCATGAAGAAACTGTAAGAAGTGGCAAGTTTAAGTATTTGGAGCAGCTCAAAATGACTGACCATCACAAAACTAGATGTGTTCAGTAACAATGTACTTTTACTTTGTCACTTAAATCATCGTTTAGAGGATTTTTTTAAAACGTAACTTTTACTACATTAAAAACCTCCAAAATATAATTTTACTTCTTTACTTTAAGATTCAACACCTTACACGTTACAAATTTAAATATGACCTGAACTCACCAAGAAGAGAGGTTGTGCACTCTAAAAAATTGAAGTTTAATGAATCACCTGGTTCCACTAAACAGAGTTGATTAAACTGAACAACTTATTTTACGTTTACTCATCTCAGCTTAGTGGGACCATGGTGACTAAATTCAGCACTTCCTTTCTAAGATTGTAAAAGTGCTTTTACTTTACATTATGAGCAGTTTTATGACTTTTCTTAAGTACTTTTCTCATCAGTGAAATTCTTTTTTACTGAAGTCATTTTCTGATAAAGTATTTTTACTTAGTTATGATTTTACTTCACCTCTAAAATACATAAAACTGTGACGATGTGAAAACAACAGATTAGTGGATTTACTTCAAACATATGTCAACTGGTTCCACTCAGCAGAACTGAATAAATGTAACACATTTACTTTACATTTACTTAAAGTTGACATAAAGTAAATCCATTTATTTTTTGAGTGAAATATGTAAATACCAATTTGACATAAAACCCAAAGTTTCCAAAGTAAATTTTTAGACTTTGAAATATGTTTCTACTCTGAAGTTAAAGAGCTGTCTTTGTTAGTTAGTTAGTTAGTTAGTTAGTTAGTTAGTTAGTTAGTTAGTTAGTTAGTTAGTTAGTTAGTTAGTGTTTTGATGTCTTTTCTGACAAACTGCTCATTAACTACTTTAAGTTTGCTTTTGATTTACAAATTGGATCCAAGTCTGAAAATGTGTCTGATGTTTTAATGAGGGACAGACCCCCCCCACCCCCCCCCCTCCTCCGGAGTGATTGAAAGTTTTCTGCAGAGTCATGTTCTGCTCGGAGATGTCCTCCTGCTCTACCTCAGTCTTCTGCTCGCGCGCTGCTTGTTGACACAACATGAGGACCTGAGGACCTGAGGATCTGTGCAGGCAGGACGCGCCCCGCAGCTTCTGGTGAGTCAGCCAATAAAAGGTGGACTGTCCTCTGACTTTCACTCTGACTGAAGGACCGGGACCAGAGGACCACAGGACCAGAGGACCAGAGGATCAGAGAGGAGCACCAAGACAAATCGTTTCCTTTTTTGATTTAAACTCTGTGGAGGGAATTGACCGGACAGAGACTTTAATTTTGGCACCAGGATAAAACAGACAAGCATCCCCTCTGTGTGTGTGTGTGTGTGTGTGTGTGTGTGTGTGTGTGTGTGTG